TTTCTCCCCGATTTTTTCCCAGCAGTTAGCCTTTTTGTTTTTGTCTTTGAAATCTTTACTGTTACGGTGGTAAACGCACTGATATCGCGCAAATTCCTCTATAAATTTCTCGTTACTAACGTTACCTTGTTCAACGCCAGCCATGTTTACAACAAATAAGCAGTTGCTTTGTTGCAAAGAAACGTTGAATTATGGGTCGGAATTCAAAATATTATGGGATACGTTTCGATCGCAGATCGCAGAACTTTGGTTTCCATATGATCGCACGATCGCAATTGATCGCAGACGATCGCAGAAGATAGAACTCTGTTCTACCTTCTGCGATCGTCTGCGATCGTCTGCGATCACGATCGCAGATGCGTGTTTCCATATGATCGCAGACGATCGCAGAACTTTTTGCGATCTGCGATCCGCGATCGTCTGCGATCATCTGGAAACCAGCCTTAAGTCATTGCACAGTGATAAACAAACAAATAAATAGCAGTATCAGAGTCTTCGATTATTAAAGCTACCACGAGAGTGCATGATCGGTTATAACAGATTATAAAAGAATCTGTCCGTCGCAAATTAATTTTCATCATGGCGGGGAAAGCTTTTGATCTATATCAACGGGAAATGTGCTGATTTAACCTTTTTTAAACAGAACATTTTTGTTTTACATCTTTATGTGACTGAGACAGGAGAGTGGCTGTGAAACTGAGCAAGTTTAACAAGAGCAAAAGTAGATGCAAAGAGTTAGTTGTATTGGATGCTCCACAACCGTGCATCTTGACATCTTGAAGTTTGTTATACGTAACCGTAACCCTTATCGATAAGTTGCTTGGGCTCTTCTCAAAACCTAGTGTCATTTGTGCATGGTCAGAAAAGTGGACAAATACAAATATCAAATAATTTTTCCGCATTTCCCTCTATTAACTTCTGTTTCAAATATTAATTTTTAGACATATAATTTTTTTTCTCTAATATGCGTCCTTCCGGGCTGTAGACGAAGAACTAGAAAAGAAGCCAAAGAAGAGAAGAAAACGGACAAAGGAACTTCCAAAAGAAGACAGCAGTGACGATGGTAATATACCACCAGAGATCAACACATGACCTTTCCTTAAAAAAAGAACGAAAGAAAGAAAGAAAAACCAGTGGCGGATCGTGTAGCCAAGCCAGTCGTGTAGCGTAGTTAGTGGAATTCGACCACTCTATACCGTAAAATGCTGGTTAGAACGCTCTAAGCTAATACAACTTCATAAGGGAATCCGTTTACCCTTGTAACTGGGGAAGTTTAGGTTTGGGAAGGAGTAGGTTTATAAATGAAGGTGGTATAGAAGAAGCCGTTTGAAGATCAATTGACAATAACTTACCAGGATTTGGATGTGCGACCTATTAGCGATAACGATCCGGACCGTAATTTCTTTCTGTGCGAACGAAAACTGTAATCCTAACATTTTAGTTATTGCTCGAACATTACACGGCATGCGCGTGTAAGGGGCTATAATATAATGTTCTGGGGCACGAAATTTTTTCTCGCCTTTGGGTTGTGCATGAATGTGTTTCTTGTTTTGTTCTTTTGGTGGGCAGTAGCTTTTACAAGAATTATTTTTAAAGTCAAACACAGGACCTAGTTAGTAGAAAGCACTTGCTCAATTTTTTTTCACATGGCTCCCCTTGTACGATTTTTTTGACCTTTTTTCAGCAGTTTTTACTGTGCAGGAAATTCTTTCGGGAAATTGCCCAACCTCCACCNCCCCCCCACCCCCTCAAATAAAAAATAATGGTCTGTTTCTTACCACAGACTTCCTAGGACCCTGATAACTGTTAGTCGAGATAATTTATGAGAATAAAAGGCATGCTTTTCGCAAGCATCGACCCATTGTATCTCACTTGTACTTTTCATTTTCATTCTGTCCACAGAGCAAGCTGTGACGAATGATGAACAAGACAAAAAGGTCGCCTCCGACCAAGGTTCTTCAAGAAGTGACAGTCCATTGCCGCAACAGCAGTCTCGGCAAACAGAGAACGGCACGGCAAGACGACGAAAGAGAAAAAGACAACTTAAGTCCAAGACCTACATGAATGATGAGGGGTTTATGGGTAAGAGATAGAGTACTACTGTATCTCCTCCATTTGCATTACAGAAAAAATAAAGCGATTAGCGACACCCCCTCCCCCTGCCTCCCCGGGAAGCGGAGTACTCTACAAAGCTTCATACGGGGAGGCTCCGCCCCGAGGTCCAATCCGTTGCCATTTAGTGTACTATTTTGACAGAAGAGCTACCCCTTTCTTATACCTTTTATTAAAAAAGGAACCCCTCTCACATATGTTTATGTTCGAAAAATCGCTTTAAGTCCCTTTTTCGACCCTTTTAAATACCCAAATGACAGATCTCCTTACCCTTTCATATACCTCAACTTGTAAAATCCCTACCTTTTATATACCTGAAGCCAACAAAGAGATTCGAAATAGGCAGTATTATTCAGAGTAGTTTTTCAAACGCGTTCTGTTGAAGATGTGACTTAAAATAACGGATGATAACTTGAGCTCAGATTTTGACCGGTGTCTTTTTGAACGTAATACAATTCCGCTCTACTTTGGTTTTGTGTTTTTTTCTTCTGGTTTACTTCATATCACTTTTGGTTTGTGTTTGTTTCTTTGTTTGCCTGTGTATTGGTCCGTCCGTCCGTCCACCGCCCGGCACGTCCACCCGTCCGCCCGTCCGTCTGTTCGTTCATCCGTCCGCCTGTCCGTCCGCCCGTCCGTCTGTCCGTCCATCCGTCCATTTGTCCGTCCGCCCGTCCGTCTGTCCTTCTGCCCGTCCGTCCGTTCACTTTTTTGTCTGTTTCTTTGTGTTCGCTTTTGTAGCAACCTGTTACTATTAATGAGTCATAACTGGAACAAATAAAGTTACGTTTGTCGTTATTTCTTTTGTAGTCACCGAGAAAGTCTGGGAGAGCGACTCGACTGATGCAAGTGATGATGATCTTCAAATAACTAATGATCCGCCAGTGAACGAGAAAAGACCGTCCCCAGCAAAGAAAGCAAACAAGAAGGCATATACAGATACGAAGAGCAAATCCACCAAGCAAGCTTCTTTAACAAGCTTCTTCAAGAAATCGTGAAAGAAATTTTCTGTAAACTAATTGTACTGATATTTAAATACGAAAATGAATATGCAGTTGTACAATGACAAAACCATACATTCCATTCTTTGGAATCAGATCCTTTCCCATTTCATTTCTTTGACAACGTGCTGTCGGCCTTTTAGCCCAAGTATTGGGTACTCGTTGATGGCAGGGTCTGTGGTTGGTCCCCCGTGGTGAGGTAACTCCCATATAAACAAAACGGGGGTGCTCGTCGTATCTTTCAGGGGTTAAAGAAGCGGAGTTGTTACCTCTTAGGATGTTCAGCCTCAAAAGGTCCACGACGTGAGAATTCCCGGAACCTTTTAGGGTATTAATCGGAAAATATGACAGCAGATTATGTGTTTTTTTTTAGAATTGATACCTCTAAGGGGTGAAAAAAATTTCAAGCCACGCCCACAAAACAGGATCTTGGTACCCCCAAGGGGTTCTTTTCAAAGAGTTCGACGAGCATCCCCGTCCTTTGCATATCATTATGGGAATCCTCCCCTCCCTGGTCTGGTCGTTGTGGGAGATGGCTCTTTTACTGGGTCAAGAGGGGCTCAAATGTAGTTGCCTAGAGTTGGTGGGTTTATTTTAATTAGCCCATAAATTCGCTGGGAACGTCACTGAATGGGATTACGGCTTGGGGAAAGGAGAGGATTGGTGCGAAGGGTTGGGTAAGGAAGTGAAACCTGTAACATTAAGCAGCAACTGCACAGTACCACGCAATATTCCAACCGTCAAGGTTAAGAAAAAATAACAAGTGAATAATTTCTTTTTTTGTTCATTCCCTTAGCCTCAGAGTCGAGTTAGATTTGTAATATATCGAGCCTGCCGTATTATTGGGGAAAAAAATCTTGCTGGATAGAAAGCAACTGTATCAAGTCACTGACCTGATGTTTTGCGCTTTTATTGACAGAGTGGGAAGTAATTTTTAAAAAGACAATGTCTGCTTGATCTTCCTGAACTATACTTTGCATTATGTATTTCCTGCTAGAGAGGCGCTTTTGCTTAGTGGGTGTTGGAAGGTTTTGTCCGCGTGTCTGGCGGCCATCACCATGATAGAGGGATTTGGGACGAGATTGCGAAGGCTTGAAGTGGGTGAGGAAGAGATAGGAATAACGGCTGCCCGCAAAGCCTGAGAAATAAACAAGTGCACACTAATTTGTTTCGCTTGATCGCTTTTTGGGCGAATTTTGTGTAATCGCTTATGGGCCATTCGAAATAAATCTTTGTTCGTCACAAGGGTCAAACAAAAGAGAGCTTGTCAATTTCAAACTTTTATGCATCGCACTGCCAATACTTTAGTTAATAACTATTTCAACTGCACAACCTGAAATCCACAGCTCGTTCTGGTCATGACGAGTCCTGACGGTTTCTGAAAGATTACTTTGATTTGTAGCAAAGATCCTACCATGCACTGACAATCGAATTCGATGGAAATTGTTCGTCGTCCTATTGATCCTGCTCAAAACAGGATGAAAGGTAAGGACTGGTTTCACCGGCGCATAAGCCAGCCTCGTTCCTGGCTAGGCTTTTCACTTTTAAAAACGCCCTGGGAAAGAGGCTGCGTAGAAGCATGAACAAAGAACGCAGAGGTAGCGAGGCGCTGTAAAGTTTCAAAACTTTCTCCTGTGTAACACTGACCCGAAAGTTAAAAATAATCTAAGAGTGATGTCGTGTTGGCGGATATTCCCTGAAAGAAATGAACATCCAATAGTCCTAAATCGAGTTACACAATTCCCCAGCAAAATACCGTTCTCTTCAACTGATTACTGAACATTGGTTACATGTAACTGAGCTCCTGTGTCTGAGTTTGGGGACGTTGTATTGCAAAGCATCTTTGGCATGCCTAATCTGGCGACCGAAATGCACTCCAGGAAAAGCAATGCTCGGCAAAATTCCGTGGCGCCCCTCATGCTTATATTTATAAGAGTTTAGCTGCTGGAGTTGTTTTTCAAAGTTGGTGAAGGTTATCGTTTGTTTGTTTTGTTTGTCCGGATACAGACTGTGGGTGTGTTGTTTGTTTGATTATTTTCTTTGGATAGCTTCTTCGACGTGGTAGCTAAAGATGAGTAACATCTCTCCCCAGTCCATTGCATGAGATGACTAAATAGCTCAACCAATCAATCAAGCTATATTGCTATTTGTTATTGTAGTGTATTGAGCCAGCGGTTGACATTATGAGCATGCGCACTTATGCGCATTTCTGTTCCATGTGCTTCGATCGAAATAAACCAAATACATGACAGTGGCGACGAGGATGAAGTCGTAGGAAAACGTCGAAAATATGACTGCTGTCGGGAAGATAGAGAGTTTTGATGAGACACAAGAGAAATGGGAAACTTATGCGGAACGTGTAGAACAGTTTTTCTTAGCAAACAGCATCGATGAGGACCGCCAAGTGCCAACCTTGTTAAGCTTGATCGGCAGCAAAACGTACACATTGTTGAGAGACCTTCTTTCACCGGATAAACCAGCCACGAAGAGCTTCCAAGAGATCGTCACGACCCTTCAGCAACACTTAAGTCCTAAACCATTGGAAATAGCAGAA